GGAGTGGGGGCGCTGACGCTCGGGTGGGGAGACGCCGGCCGCCCCGTCGCTCTCCTGAGCGTTCGCAGGCGCCTTAACTTCTCTGTGCCTCAGTTTCCCGTCTACACGCGCCGGGCAGGGCTAGCCCGCAGCCCGCTGGGGCCGCGGAGGGCGGGGAGCAAGGCTGATGAAACCAGGCGGTGCTAGGTTGGGCCCCGCACGGCGCCGCTCCAGAAGCCCGGGCGCTCGGGCGGGCACAGGCAGCCTCACCTGTGGCACACAGCGCCGCCCGAGCGCCCCCAGCCCCACCCTGCCCGGCCTGCCTGGCGCCCCTCCCCCATGGCCCAGAGGCCACAGTGGGTCCCGTGGGCGCAGTGGGGCGCTTCTCGAGGTGGCGGGGGCGCGCCCCCTCCCGGTGCTGCCCCTCTCCCTGGCAGACAGGTCTGCACCCAAGCTTAGGCGTCACCCTCCTGATGGGGCAGCCCAGGGCAGAGAAGCGAGGCGTGCCCAGGCCTGGACAGACACCCGGGTCCGGGCCTGGCCGCCTTGTGGCAGGCTGGTCTCCGTCAGGTCCGCTTCCTCCTAGTGACTGTCGCCTGGGTCTCACCTTGCAGAACACCCACCCCATATTCTCCCTTAACTGGGAGTGTGTGGTCAGCTTCCTGTGGAACACCGAGGCCGCCTGCCCCGTGCAGATCACCACGGACACGGACCAGGTACGTGCCGGCCCTCCCCGCGCCGTCCTGAGGAAGGAGGGTCACTGCGTTGTCCCCTACGCCCGGCTCCTGGGCTGAGGGCAGGAAGTCACCCTCCCACCGTAGACTCCTCCCTCTTCTCCGCCCCTGGCCTGACGGGGAGAGCTGGGAGTGGACACCACCGCAGAGCTAAATGTCCAGGGTCCGCCGGCTGTGCCCTCGGCCTGCACCCCGGCGTGCCCTCGGCCCTGGGCACAGCCTGCCTGTGTCCTCCCCTGTGACCCACGCATGCTCTGCGGGGACACCCAGGTTTATTGCCGCACCGCCAGCCCTGCCCCTCTGACTGGGCCCTCTGGCCACGGCGCATACTCCTGCCTCCCGGCCCTGCTGCGGGGGGCGGCTCTGAGACTGACCTCTGACAGCCGGCCGTTGTCACAGCTGCGTTTCTCTGTGATGGAGTGCACGTTCCTCTGCAGTTTTTTCAGCTCTGCATTGAGCGGCAGCCACTTGGCATGAAAGTACAGAACTGGCCTTGCAGTGACTGGGGGTGGGCTTAGCAGGGGGCACTGCCACCCTGTTCCCGGGCAGTGTGCTGGGCCTGGCTGCGTGGCGCCCGCCCGGGACAGGCAGGCTGCTGGCCGGTCCTACTGGCCTTTCGTGCCTCAGACAGGATGCACTTAACCTCCAGCTCGGCAGTCACGGGCCTGGCGGCAGCCGTGGCTCCCCAGAAAGCTCCCCTGAGCCCGCTGCAGCTGGCGCCACAGCTGTCTGCTGATGTTAAGGCCGTGGAGAAACAGGGCTGCGTGAGGCCCGTGTGTGCAGGTTGGGGGTGCCGGCGGGTGGGTGTGGCCTGAACTGCCCTTTCCTGCCCCACAGGCCTGCTCCATCAAGGACCCTAACAGTGGGTACCTGTTTGACTTCAACCCACTCAACAATTCCCAGGGATATGTGGTCTCGGGCATCGGGAAGACTTTCGTGGTGAGTTCTGTGACGATACCAGTTTGCTTTGTCCTGAGTCACCTGCAGCCGGGCCTGCAGGCAGGTCCTCAGGGATAGGCCGCGACGGAGCCCTCACCCGAGGGGGTGCGAGGGCCTGAGTGTAGGGAGCTGGGGATGTCATCACCCAGGCCGCTACAGTGCAGGTGGGGGTGTCATCTGCTGGAAGCTACTCAAGCCTGTTGAGTGGCCTCGAGCTGGCATGACCTGGAGGGCGGGTGGCAGAGACCTGACTCCTCAGCGGGGGCTGGTGGTGGTAGGATCCCACCACTTAGATTTAGCAAGCGCTCCAGGAGAGTCTGGTCTGCTGGAGTTTGGGGGGAAATGCTGATTACAGTACCCCTAAACGGGCCACAAGCCGGGGGTGGCGGTGGAGAATCTTCTCACTGCACTTTCAGAGACAGCCTGGTGGTGTAGAGCAGCGAGCTGGAAAAGTCTCCACACGAACACTGTTCTTTATAAAATGCTTAAAAAATCTTTGGTTTGTTTAAATTCTTCCAAAATCCAATTGAGACAGAGGATAGGCTTTGAAAACGGGAAGTTGGGGTGAGAACATCTTAGGAACAGTGATGCAGGGGCACTTTGTAGGTAGCCACTGCCCGGGAAAGTGCTGGAGCGGAGCTTGTCCCCCAGCGGCCTGGGCCGGTCATCTGCACCGCAGGCCAGCTGCGCTGCAGCCCGGTGTATGCCGGGGAAGAGGCGGCACGGCACCCCGTGCTGCCTGGCTGGGCGTGCCTCTGATGGGGCCAGGCGATGACCCGTAGGGGACAGGCGTCAGGAGGGTCAGCCTGCGGAGGGGCCGTGCTCCACGGACCTCCAGTTTCAGTCAGCTTGCCCGCATGCGCCATCTGCACAGTGACCCGCTGCGCCGGCCTCTCCTGCGGTCAACGTGACACGTCCCAGCAGTGGACGCAGGGCTGGTGGCTGTGGTGTCCTGATCCCCGGGGCAGTTTCTGGGCGCCGCCGTTGGGCCGTGACTCCTCCTTAGGTCCTAACCCTGAGGACTAAATGTGGAAGGGGTGACGCGCCGACGGGCGTGGTGAGGGCCGCATGTGTCCGGGCACCAGAGCCGGCCTGAGTGGTCCTCGCTGTCCCCCTGCAGTTCAACGTGTGCGGCACAATGTCTGTCTGTGGCACCCTCGAGGGGAAGCCCGCTTCTGGCTGTGAGGCCGAGAGCCAGACAGAAGACCTGAAGAACCTGAAGCCAGTCAGGCCAATGATTCTGTCCAGCCTCCAGCTGTCCACGGAGGGCCTGATCACGCTGACCCTCAGAGGGAATGCAGACCCCAGCAAAGGTGAGCTCGGAACCAGGGCGCCTTGTGGTGGCCAGTGTCTTGGGGGTACCCCGAGGCCCCACGCCAGCTCCCACCCTCCGGAGAGTCCTGTGCCCCGACCCAGGCTCTCCCATGGGGCCCCCCAGAAGTTCCCAACCTAGAATGCCAGTCTTTGGTGCTGCTTTCTGCTGGGTCCCCAAGCAGATACTGAGGTTACTGTTACTTATTTCCTTCTCTGTTCTTCCCCTCAGTCTTTCTTGCACCTTTTTGTAATAAATACACTTCTGGGGTGCATGTGTTAACATTTCTGCATGTTCCTGCCGCTCTGGTGTCCAGTGGACGGAGCTCTGAGAGGCGGCGTGTGTGGGCGTCCTGTGCAGGCTGGGCTAATGCTGCGTCCATGGCCTGCCCTGCCCCACCCCTACCCTGGGCCGCCAAGACCTCCCTTCTCCTTTGCAGGGAGGGAAGGTCCAGACAGAGCTGGAGGCTCTCTGCCGGCTGGAACTGGGGTCCCTCGCTTGAACCCAGGCCCTTGAAACCGCCCCCGTGCCTGCTGTCCAGCGGGCGCGGCGCCCCTGCGGCCCGTGCGGACTGCCCGGTCTTGCTGCCTGTGCCTTCACACCCGCCTTCTGATTTCCCAGGGACCTCTGGTGCGTTCATTATCCGCTTTGTTTGCAACGATGACGTCTACCCGGGAAACCCCACGTTCCTGCATCAAGATATCGACTCGAACCTCGGGATCCGTGACACTTACTTCGAGTTTGAAACCGCGCTGGCCTGCGTCCCCTCCCCGGTGGACTGCCAAGTCACGGGTAAGCCTGGCGGGGTGCGCAGTGGGCGCAACGGGCGCGTGTGTGCTGGTGTGTTTCACTTACCGACAGTGTGACATGGGTGTTACGTGTCTTGTGAGCGATGCTTTAAAGTCCTGTCATTTCACTTGAGAATGAAGGAAGCGGTGGCTCTGGAGGGTGCGCCTGACAGCGGACAGTGTCCCCAACACCTGACGGTGCCCTGGGCCTGCCCCCCACGTGCTCGCTGCCCTGAGGGGCGGTGTTGGGGCGGGGTGTGCCCTGTGGCTGTGTCTCCTGGGGTCTCCTGGAGGTCTCGGGGGGCCGCATTGTGCCCCGAGGCTGGCGGGGGAGCAGAGGCACCCACGCACCCCTCTGTTTCAGACGCTGCTGGCAACGAGTATGACCTGAGCGGCCTGAGCAAAGTCCGGAAGCCTTGGACTGCCGTGGACTCCTCAGACGAAGGCAAGAGGAGGACTTTCTACTTGAGCGTCTGCAACCCTCTGCCCTATATTCCCGGGTGCCATGGTGAGTGCCCACGTCACAGTAAATGTGCCGAGACGGTCAGATGGACCAAAGCCCAGGGCCACGCGCCATTTATGAGATGTGCTTGAAACACGAGCACAGAAGGGATGACAGAGAGTGGAGGGTGACAGAGCCCAGCCCAGGAAAGTTCTGGAACGCTCCTGGTCGTAGTACCACAGAAGGCACAGGCAGCACAGAAGTAGAGGCACGTCGTAGTGCGAGACTCAGGCAGTAGGGCGAGGTGACAGTCCTGACGTGAATAAGCCTGCCGAGTTCTCCCCCCTTTCCAAGCGGGGGGAAGGCAGACGCATGCGGGAGCAAAGCAGGCTGAACACACCCTCCAGCAGGGAACCGCGTGGAACACTGTCAGTTAGAGCCAGAAGCGAAAATGAAGAGCGAAAGAGGCCTGGAGACTGCAGGAGGCCAGCTCGGTCGCGGCCGTGCTTACGGCGCTGGTAGCAAGAGCGTCACGTGCAGTCAGAACAGGCACGCGAGGTTAGCGGGCGTCTGCGGCCCGAAGCCAGGGCAGATGCTCAGGCCACTTGAGGTGTAGCGAGAAAACGGCAGAATGATCGGGAACCTCGTGTTTTGGAAATCGAGAACCTCGTTTCTCGAGCCCTGAGCGTGCGCCGCCGCGCCCCCAGACGCGCTCCCCGCTCTTCCAGGCAGCGCAGTGGGGTCCTGCCTGGTGACGGAGGAGAAGAGCTGGAGCCTGGGCGTGGTGCAGATCAGCCCGCAGATGGCCGCCAACGGGTCCCTGAGCCTCGTCTACGTCAACGGCGACAAGTGTGGGGACCAGCGCTTCTCCACCAGGATCTCCTTGGAGTGTGCCCAGACCTCGGTGCGCGCTCCCCGCCCAGGCGCTGGCGGCCGCCCCGGCGTGGGCACGGGTGGTGGCTGTTGGTGGTGACTTAACTAAATGGAAACAAAACCATCTGCTGGCTTCCCTGCAGGGGTCGCCGACCTTCCAGCTTCTGGACAACTGTGAATACGTGTTTGTCTGGAGGACCGTGGAGGCCTGCCCTGTCGTCCGAGCCGAAGGTGAGGCCCGGCCGGTCCGTGCGGGCACCCTGCCTGAGCAGAGGAAAGGGCCCTGCGCCCCTGCTTCCTGTGCCCTTCGCCCCCTATTTCCTCACCCGTTTCTGTGCCCCCCACGTTCTTGTGACCTGATGCTGGGCTCCCGTGTCATCCTCTCCCCGCCCCTGTGCTGCTGCTCTGCAGCTTTGCTCATCCTGCTGGGATGAGGGGCTGCTGTTTCTCACTCTGGGGTGGGGCTAAGCGATCTTGGGGTAAGCTTTCTAGAAAGCTGTTGCCAGTGGTCTGTGCCACGCCATGGGGCGGGAATGAGGCTCAGTGGGGCCCGGGGCTTTCTGCTGGAGCGCGCTGAGGCTGCTCTCCTGCTCGTGTCCCCCAAAGGAGAAAACTGCGAGGTCAGGGACCCCCGGCACGGCCACCTGTACAACCTGAAGCCCCTGTCCCTGAACGACACGCTCGTGACCGCCGGCGAGTACACCTACTACTTCCGGGTCTGCGGGCAGCTGTCCTTGAGCGTCTGCCTCGGCGGCGAGAAGTCCAAGCCGGTCTCATCGTGCCAGGAGAAGCGGGGCCCCCAGGGGTTCCATAAGGTGGCAGGTACGGCAGGGGCGCCCCTGTGTGAGGAGGGGCAGGATTCCTGGCTCTTGGCGCCGGGAGCACCTCTCCCGCAAGCAGGGAGGACGGCCGGTCCTCCCCGGCTGTCACCTGACCCCCGTGCCGGCTGCTTGCTGCCTTCTCGCTTGGCGACGCCGGTTCTGGGCCCGAGAGCCCGTCTCCCTGCCACACGTGCGCCCTTGGGCGGCCAGTGCAGGGGCTCTGTGCAGCACGCCCCGAATCCAGCCAGAGGGCCGGTGCGGTGCAGGCGGGGACGCTCGTGTCCAGGGCACGGGAGCAGGCAGGTGGCGCGGGTGAGGGTCCTCCCTGCGCCCGCCAGTGCCTGGCTTTGCACGGCGGGGGGAGGGGCTCGTGACCTGCGCCCTGACTCGGCTCCGTCAACAGGTCTGGTGACGCAGAAGCTGACCTACGAGAACGGGCTGCTGAAGATGAACTACACCGGCGGGGACCGCTGCCACCAGGTGTACGAGCGCTCCACCACCATCTACTTCTACTGCGACCGCGCCCCCCAGAGGGTGAGTGCCCCCGCGGCCCGCAGGCTCCCTGTGGTGTGGGCACACGGCTCGGGGCGCCTGGCGTTTATTCCCTGCCCTGTGCCAGTGCGGGGCCCTGGGCAGCCCGGAGCTCCTCGCGGTCAGGACGCAGCAAGCCTTCAGGGCCGAGGGGCGAGGCCAGGCCGCATGGAGCCGAGGCCACCGAGCGCCCCTCCGCCCAGGCCCGAGGGCGGGGCTGCTGGGGCTCGTGGGGTCACCAAGTAGATCAGAGCACAGGCCTTGGGAGTCGGAGGGTTTGATGCATTCAGGGGTCCGGTTCAGCATATTTCCAGTTCACAGTAAAGTTCCCCAAGGGGAGACTTTGACTACTTGGGAAATCCCTATTTTCATTTTATTCCGCTGTGGGACTGTGGAGAAAGGAGCTTTTAAGTTCCTTACTAGCTCAGAACTCCCTGGTTCAAAGTGGGCATTACGGTCTCAACACCGCGCTCCCCTGAAATCCTGACGGTCAGCGGGGTGCGAAGGGCCGTCTGTCCAGCACAGAGGAGACGGTCTCCCGCAGTGTTTAGGAGACCGCTGCGCCGTGGTGCCGGGCGGGCGTGGCCTCGACTGTGCCCCCGGTGACGCCCGAGCTGCGGGCTTCCCGGTCAGCCTCTGCGTGTCTCCCTCCCAGCCCGTGTTCCTGAAGGAGACCTCGGACTGCTCGTACCTGTTCGAGTGGCGGACCCCATACGCCTGCCCGCCCTTTGACGTGACGGAGTGCTCTTTCAAGTAAGGCGCGGCGCGGACCTTGGGGCTGGCCGCCTTCGTGCGGCCGGTTTCTCCTCTGGCCGGGACCCTCAGAGTCGGCTCACTTCGCTGAGCCCCGGCGCGTGTCTTCGCAGAAGGAAGAGCGGGTTAGGTCAAGTCTCCACCCTCGGAGATTCTGAGGCTCCTGTGCTGTGATGCAAACGTTAGGGACGAGCCCAGAGTCAGGCCGGAGGACGCGGCAAGGCTCCCGGGTGTAGGCAGTGACAGCCAGGACGGCCCCGTCTGGCTGCGCCCCGGGTGCTGCTCATCGGGGCCCCGAGGAGGCCTGGGGAGGGCGCGGCAGAGGCCTGGCCAGCGCGAGGGGCACCAGCCTGCAGGTGCCCGGTGGCCTTTGGCCACCGGCTCAGCGCGTGCCTGCGGCAGGTGGTTGGCCGCTCCTGGGACGAGGTGGGGCCTTGGCACCTGAATGTCGACCGGGTCACCCCTGGAATTGGCACACAGTAGACAGCTTGGGCCCCTTCCCCGGAAAGCTTGGTTCTGTGCGTCTGGGTCTGTGGTTCTGAGTTTGCACGGGACAGACTGACAGTCCCACGGTGAGGACTTGTCCAGGAGTCAGGGTCACGGCCGGCTGTCTTGGGGACACGTTTTGTCGCCTCACACGTTTGTGCTGAATCAAGTGAAGTCGAGCGCCAGCAGCGCGTGGGAGCCTGTGGCGGGCCGTGTTTTGCGACTGCGCCCGTCACGCAGCCGCGTCACCTCATGCGGCCGGCGCTTCCGGGCACCTGTTCATCTCCCAGGTGGTGACGGAGCCCAGCTAGTTCTGCGGACGCCGGGGGCTGCCCCGGGCTCTGGCCGCCGCCGGGCATCCTCAGCTCCCTCACACTTGTGTTGAAGGAGTGTAATTCTGAGGTCTTTGCAGAAAGCCTCGCTCCCCCAAGTAGTTTTATGCTTTGAAAAGTTGGATGAAATCAAAGGAAAATTGAGTAGTTGGGTGAAATGAGGCTGCTGTGTGCATCTCCTAAGAAATTCACAGAACACAAAATGTGTCACCTAGGTGAACTCTCCCGCCCTGACCTCTCCCCTAGCCTCATCCCACATTCCCTGTCTTCCTGTAGTTCTTTCTGGAACCTTCCAGAACTGACACTGCACCTTTGTCGGCCTCAGACCGTCTCTGTGGGCTCCTCCACGGAGGTCGGCCTGAGGCGCCCCCCCCTCCCCTGCCCGCCCCGTCAGCGCGTCTCTATCCCGGCACC